TCACAGCAACCTCCAACTCCTGGGCTCAAGCGAGTCTCCTGCCTCCGCCTCCGAAGTAGCTGGGACCACAGGCGCCCGCCACAACGCCCGGCTATTTTTTGATTGCAGCCGTCATTGTTGTTTGGCGGGTCCGGGCTGGGGATTTGAACCCGCCACCTTAGGTGTACGTGTCTGGCACCTTAGCCGGTTGAGCTATCGGCGCCGAGCCGAGGCTACTTCTTATAACCTATGACCTTGAGCATATTCCTTAGCTTACTTGAGCCCCAGTTTATCAGAAAAATGGGGACAATAGCAACCCAAGGTGTTGTTGTGCGACCTTGAGCCCAGCTGTTTCAAAAATGTGCTTGGGGCTGGGTGCAGTGGCTCATACCTATAATCTCAGCACCCTGGATAGCCAAGGTGGGTGGATTGCCTTAGGTCAAGAATTCAAGTCCACCCTGAGCTAGAGTGAGAACCCCCCCCCCGTACCCGCCCCCCCAGTCTCTACTAAAAGTAGAAAAACTAGTCAGACATGGGGGTATAGTCTATAATCCCAGCTACTCAGGAGGCTGAGACAAGAGGATTGCTTGAGTCCAAGAGTTTGGGGTTGCTGTGAACTATGACATCAGGGCAACAGTGTGATACTGTCTCAAAAAACTCCCAAATAACAAAGAAAGCATGGCTAGGGCTACCTACATCACAACGGCTGTAGGGTGCATTGAAGTTTGAGAAACACAGTGCAGGTCAGGTGGTAGGTAGGCGGGCAGGCCCTCCCAAACTGTAAAGTACTATACCAGTGACAGCTGATAACACCTGCTGTCCTCCTCATTGGGGGCCATGTTAAACTCTTGAGGACTGATACCATGTGAGGTCAGTGGCTTAGAGATGACAGCAAAGTACGGCAGCAGGAGCTTGCCCCTGTGGGCTCTGTGCCAAGGCCATGCCTGTGAAATTACTTGTGGCCTGTGGGTCTGTCAACGCCTAGCTGTCTGCATTCCATCACGCCTCAGCTCCCAGCTCTTGGCTTCCACCCTGCGAAAAGAATCTCTCAACATCACCCGCCCCATCCAGCCACTGAGTTCATGCTTCTCTGCTTCCCTGGCAGGGTTGTGCCCATGGGTGGGTGCGTGGACCAGGGACTTTGGGGTCACTGCCCTGCAGCCACTGACTTCCAGGGCAGAGGTACAGTCCATGGGGCACAGTTGTTCAGAAGGTACTTCTGGCCTAAAAGAAGCCTTGTCCCTTCCTGTCCTCATTGCTCCCAAGGCCAGGTTAGCATTAACAGTGGGTGGCTGCTAGTGCATGGTATGAGGTGAAGGTACTCAGAGTGCAGCGTTCAGCTTTGAAAACTGAGGCCTTGAAGGAGATTCATGCATAAGAACAAAAATAGGGAAAAGAAAGGATTAGCCCCACTCATGGCTCACATCTCAGCGCTGAGTCCTGGTAAGGAAGGAATGGGGGTCTGGGTTTAAAGCCTAAAGGAGTCTCTACTCCCCTGAGCCCAAACTCACCCTATAACCACCGCCTTCCCTGAATGTCCTAGAGCATAAACAGTGAGAGGGCCTGGGTACACTCACCAGGTGACTGTGACATGTAGAAGAGTAAGTCACAGGCCCCTGCCAGGGACCCTACCTGTTAATGGATGTGGCCTTGCCGTGGCCCCAGAGTCTGCCTGGGGGAAGGGTTTTTTTTTTTTTTTTTGAGAGTACTCTGTTGCCCAGGCTAGAGAGTGTCATCATAGCTCACAGCAGCCTCAAACTCCTGGCTCAAGTGATCCTCCTGTCTCAGTCTCCCAAACAGCTGGGACCATAGGCTTGTGCCACCATACCTGGCTAATCTTTTCCATTTTGAGACAGAGCCTCAAGCTGTTGCCCTGGGTAGAGTGCTGTGGCATCACAGCTCACAGCAACCTCCAACTCCTGGGCTCAAGTGATTCTCCTGTCTCCGCCTCCGCCTCCTAAGCAGCTGGGACCACAGGCGCCCGCCACAATGCCTAACTATTTTTTGGTTGCAGCCATCATTGTTGTTTGGCAGGTCCGGGCTGGATTCAAACCCACCAGCTCAGGTGTATGTCGCTGGCGCCTTAGATGTTTGAACCATAGGCACTGAGCTAATTTTTTCT